GTCGTGTTTCCATTATTGGCCGCTCGTTTATACCAGATGATCGATTCCTTTTCATTATTTTCAATTCCAATACCATACTCATAACAATACCCTAAATAAAATTGTCCGATAATACTTTCATTTTTCACAGAACGTTGATATAAATTAAATGCAAACTTTTTATTGCATTCCGTACCAAATCCATCATTATAACATTTCGCAAGATAAACTTGAGCTATGGAATAATTTTCTTCCGATGCTTTGAAAAATAATTCGAACGATTTGATACTGTTTTCTTTTATATCAATACTATAATAGTAAAATAATCCAAGTAGCCAAACGTATTGCACTTTGATTTGATTTTTTATAAGCCAATTGATAAGTTCATCCGTATTTTGATTGAATTGTAATACCTGTTGATTAATGAGATGTTTGATCTGATCAAAAGTAATACCTTCATTATGCTTCTTGATTAGAAGTTGGATTAACTTATCAATCGTTGCGTTGTTAACAAATGTTGATTCAAAAGAATCTTTTGATAAATCTATAGAAAATAATTTACGGTTTTCACGATCTATTACATTTAGGTTAACAGATTCTTGATTTTGTAAATTTAAATTGGTTTCATATGTAGCAATATCTAATTCATTTATATTGGAATCATTAGTATTTGCAGTCAATCCTGAACTTGATTTGTACTTTTTTAATAAAAATTTTTTCTTTTCCCTTTGGTTAGCATGATCAACACCTTGATTAGGAAAGATCATTGATTTAAGAGTTGACTTAACCTCTTGCATATCCGGACGATCACACGGCTCATCCGCCCAACATTCTAATCGATTCAAAAGTAAGTGAGACTTTAAATATCTTAAGTTGAACACTTTGATTCAAAGATGATTTTATGGTACCTCTGTATAAATCGCTATACTCAATTGGAGTCCCATCAATGATATTTTCTCTCAACCTATTTTGTAATTTCGAGGGTAAAATCGCCACCTCTTCAGCGTAGAAAGGTCTATATCCGCTTGAGATTTGCCACAACAAAATTCCAACACTGTATACATCGGATTTCTTATTTAATTTGTACCTTGAATTACCGAAACTTTTTGGATCTATGTATGGTATCACACCAAGTAGTTTTGTCGCATTACTTGATTTTTCATCAATTTTTTTGGATAGACCAAAATCCGCAATTTTAATATTTTTCTGATGCACGAGTATATTATTTGCATGCTTTTTAAATAAATCAATAAAATAAATAAAAACAAATTAATTCATACTAATTAATTTAAAATCACGGGGAATTAGGATAAGAATTTACCAGATCACGATGAATAATATCGCAATCGTGTATAAATGCTACAGCACTTGCGAGTTGATATGCCAACTGATTTTTGTCGCTCCATTGGAGTTCATTGAAATGATCATCCAAATAGGTATCTATTGTACCACTATCGGCATACTCCAAAACCAAAGAGTACTTTCTTATTTGACGACTTGCATCTATATGAAAAGGAGAAAGCGTGAAAGGTTATTTGTAAAAAAAAACAAATTATAAAAAGTTTTTATTTAATATTTACCGGTTTCTTCCTTTGTGATCCCATAAACTCGTATAATATTTTCATGAAAGTCAACTTTTCGATGTAATTTTAACTTGATACAAATTTAAAAAAATCAATTTACCCCTTTTTTATTTTTTTTTTGTTAAAAAGATTGTAAATGTAGTACCTCGTTGACAACCTCTTTCAGAGTTACTTTATCATGATTAAAAGATTTTAAAGCAAAGAAACGATCAGTATTTTTCCAATTTGCACGCACGATGTTCCCAAAGGAACCACTTCCGATTGGTTGTTTATTTTTGAAGTCTGAATATTCGTAAAAGTTGAAATATTCTTCAGTAACTATTTTTTCTAACCAATCGATATAAATGGTTGAATCGCTAACCTCTGCATCATTTAACATTTTTAAATTTACAGCAAAGGGAATCCCTTATTTTTCTTCCTTTTTGAACTATTTATAACATTGAAATCTCGCGTGTAACTGTAACCTAAGAATTTAAATTAATTAAAATAATGAGCCTTTACATGCGATATGGTTGGTCTAATACATTCATTGATATGATTATTTGTTCAACAGATTGTTCCCTTAAACTTAAAATTTGCCAACCCTAAAATTCAGAAAGTTTTAGATAGTAAATTATTTGGATTAGTGCAAAAGGAATTGGTGTATTGATTGATATTCATTGATCTATAACTTACATTGATCACATTGATAACTTTAAGCAGACTTGGCACATACGACAAAGAACTGAAGTCAATTACAGGGACTCCTTAACAACACTTGAGAAGAATTTCATTTAAACGAATGTTATCAATTAGTGGGGGGGGGGGGGGGGGGGGGGGGGGGGGCGCGCGTTTCCGCCCTTTTTTTTGGGGTTTTGGTTTCACCCCCGCCAACAAACAGCGCGTGAGCCGCCAGGCACGACTCGGTCTGGCC